ACCTACGTCGACGAGGTTCCCCCACCTGGGGCGAACATAGTCGATGGCATGTGGATTTTCATAGTGAAGCGGCCGCCGGTTTCTCCGCCTGCCTTCAAGGCGCGTTATGTTGCTCGAGGCTTCAGTCAGCGACAGCGGGTTGACTACTTCCATACCTTTTCCCCCATCCCGAAGATGACTACTCTTTGGGTGTTTCTGCACGTCGCTGCTCAGCGTGACTACGAGCTGCACTCTCTCGACTTCAGCACAGCTTTCCTGCAGGGCAGCTTGCACAAGGAGATCTGGCTGTGCCGCCCACCTGGCTTCACTGGGTCGTTTCCTGCAGGTACCCAGTGGAGCCTCCGGCGGCCAGTCTACGGTCTCCGCCAGGCACCTCGCGAGTGGCACGACACACTGAGGACTACACTTGCGGCTCTGGGATTTACTCCTTCTACTGCTGACGTGTCACTGTTTCTACGCACCGACATGTCTCTGCCGCCGTTTTACGTCTTCGTGTACGTCGACGACCTTGTCTTTGCCACTGCTGACACTGAGGCACTGACCCTTGTGAAATCGGAGCTGCAGAAGAGACACACCTGCACTGACCTGGGTGAGCTGCACAGCTATCTTGGCTTGCAGATCATCCGGGACAGAGCATGGCGCACCATCACCCTGACTCAGTCACACATTGTGCACCAGGTCCTTCAACGCTTCGGCTTCCAGTTCTCCTCGCCACAGCCCACTCCTCTGTCTACCAGCCACTCGCTCTCAGCTCCACCTTCGGACGAGTCTGTAGAGCCGAGTGGTCCGTACCCAGAGCTTGTGGGTTGCCTCATGTACCTGATGACATGCACACGACCTGACCTCGCGTATCCTCTCAACCTCCTGGCTCGCTACGTGGCACCGAAAGGTGCACTGGGATACTGCGAAGAGGGTATTGCGTTACTTGTGCAGTACGTCGGGCATGGGGCTAGTGCTTGGAGGACAGGGTCCAGTTGTCCTCACTGGTCACACAAACGCTTCTTGAGTTGAGGACTCAGCTACGCAGTGGTGGTCACAGGGTTACACCTTCAACCTCGATTCCGGCTGTGTTTCCTGGCGGTCTACCCGCTCGTCTTCGGTTCTTAGCTCCAGTTGTGAGGCTGAGATATACGCAGGGGCCATGGCTGCTCAGGAGCTACGTTGGCTCACCTACCTGCTGACAGACTTGGGAGAGCAGCCTCGTTCGCCTCCAGTTCTGTACGTAGACAACAAGGCCATGATTGCCTTGTGTCAGGAGCACAGACTGGAGCGCAGAATGAAGCACATCGCTCTGCGATACTTCCTTGCTCGAGAGTTGCAGCAGCGTGGCCAGCTTCCTCTTGCGTACGTGGCCACTAGGGCCAACACTGCTGATATATTCACCAAGGCACTTCCGCCTAGTGATCATCAGCGCTTCTCTACTGTGTTAGGCCTTGTGCCTACTTTGCATCACTTGCTTACTGCGTGACTTTGCTTGTACTGTGATCGATATATATACCTGCATGCTTGTACTTGCTAGGGTATGATCACTGTACTGTACTGTTTGTTCTCTTATATAGAACTCTGCCTGTGAACTGGCCTTGTGGCTCTTTGCTTGTGCTCGGACTGTGTGGTGACTTTGTGATCCACCCTGAGCTTGCTTTGCTTTTCTTGACTGGTCTCGTGACCACTTGTTCTCCCCCACTTTGCTTATGGGGGTGTGTCAAACTTATATACAGCTCACATTGTGTATGCTGTAGTGGGGTAGCCCATAAGGGGTACAACTCAATTAGGGTTAGAACTTGTACCCAACTCTTTGCTAGTTCATTCATTCATTCTCGCTCTTTGATTCTAGTAGCAAGAACACGTACGGGGGGTCTGTGGCGCCAGTGTGGCACACGGGCTTGTGCAATTTCGACAACAACGACCCAGCGAGCGGCAAAGATTTCAAAATCTGTGCGTCCTCCCTCTTGGTTCCACGAAACCGTTAGCTTGCATTGGATACTCAAAATCGTCATTCCCTCAATCCTTCCCTAGCCGCTATTGGTCTTTTTTTTTTCCTGATCTGTTTCCTTTCTCGCCCACTTTCGCACCTTGGTTCGTTGCTTCATTTCATATGGAATATTTCGGTGTTTCCTCTTATCTGCTGAGATATTCCTTATGATCGCGTACGTCCCATCCCATCCCAGGCTGTCTGGGTTGTTTTTCCCCGTGTGTGCTATTCGGCATCAACTGGGAAATGTTGACAGGCGACCAGAGCGAGTGATGTCGCTGCTGCGCCAGCTTCTTTCTCCTGAATTTTGCTGTGGAGACCGTTGCCAACATGACAAATGGGTATCCTGCTTTGGTATATCTGTTCCCGTTGTTCACACCGCCTACACGAACAGCGATCAGAAAGAGATACGGCCTTGAGGTGCGTGTCTTGTGTGGTTCCAGCATGTTCCACGATATTATTTTCTCAACATTTCTGGTGGCTCTCACGGGAACAGTTTAAGATTCAGGCATGAAACCACCTTTTATAACGTTTCTTTTATTTGTTGATGGCTGAGTTTTCTCTTTCCCTTGGTCCTGCTTTTTGCTTTACAGAGTGAGGCGAAATTGTTTTTCAGGGATCCGCATCCAGTCTGTGAGAGGGTGTGTGATTGCTACATCCACATCGTATGCCTGCCTTGTGCTCTTTGCCAGGAGTCTCGTGAGCTCATGCGTAGAACGACTGCTGGAAAGGGAAGGTATCCCTTGGAGAAGCCTACTGTAGCTCCTCTCAGACAGATAATGACAGGCTAGCAGCTTGAATGTGGGAACAGAGTGTTTTCATGCGGGGCATCACAATCTGTAGTAATTCTTGCAATCAGATTAATTTATTGCCTGCACTTGAGCTGGCTTGAGCAATATCAGTGCTTATCGTAATCTGCAGGATCTAAGTCATCCGTGGGTTAATTTGGGTAGTCAATCAAGTGCGGGCTGGTGGTGGAAGGAACAATTGTTGTACGTTTGGCTGATACGGTAATGAGAGAGTATATGATAAGTTTTCTTCACCTTTTGTAGCCACTTCTCATTCCAAACTCCTACCGAACGGCTTTACATGGTAACACAAACACCAGTGCCAGTAGTGAAGCATGACGGAATCGGGTTCATGTGTTTCTTCAACTTGCACACACCTTGCATCATAGGGCGCTAATTCTAGTCTGCGTCACCAGTGGTGCATAGACCACCGCGCATGTGAAAGCATTTACCGACTCGACTCGAAGCCACTTTTGCAAGGCGTCTTCTTACGACACATCGCCACGTGGGAGGCTGCCATAATTGTTTCGATCGAGCCGCCAAGGCATATGCTTACGAGGGCGGCCAGCCTTGCATGCACTGCCCTCGAAGCGCAGGTCGAACATGACTCGCTGGAAGCTTCGCGAAAGGATAAAACATCGCTCCGACGAGTGCTTTTACGAACCTCCACGATTAATCGACGAAACTTCTTGAACCCGCTGCAAAAGCACCATGATTTGTTCGCAAGAGGCGCGACGCGGAAAGCTGCTGACCTGTCGTGACCTTCGCGACAGCATGCAGCAAATGCTATTACCTTCTTCGAGAGAAGTCTTGATTTCGAGGGAGACTGCTAGCCCGAGTCGCGAGATTGCTTGTCCGAGTCACGATCCCTAGCGCGATTCGGGCGACCTGGGCCCTCTCTCCCTCTCTCCCTCTCTCTCTATCTGTGTCGTGAATACTTGTTCGCCGGCGAAACGCATTCTTTCGTGGCTGATTTTTCTAAGACCACGGGAACCTCGCTCGCTTCTTGTGCCTCAGCTCCCGCGTCCGCTTTTTGCTCTCATTATCCCTGAGGACAATCGCTTGTACCGTAATAGTACGCTGATCTCCGTTACTAGCAGCTCCGTTCGTAGCATCAAGCGACTTCCGTCCGTCCGTTTTGCCCACGGTCCGCTCGTTACAGTCACGCTATCATGCCTGCGAGCGGCGAGACGGCCATAGGCATCGATTTAGGCACAACGTACAGCTGCGTGGGAGAGTGGCAGCATGACCGGGTTGAGATTATAGCGAATGATCAGGGTAACCGCACCACGCCCTCGTTTGTAGCATTCACTGACACGGAGAGGCTGATTGGCGATGCTGCTAAAAATCAAGTGGCTATGAATCCGACCAACACGGTGTTTGGTAAGTTTGCTTGGTATCTGTTGTGCTTACAGCAGGTTTATCTGTCGCTTCTAGCTTTCACTGACACTGAGCGGCTGATTGGCGACGCTGCTAAGAACCAAGTGGCTATGAATCCCACCAATACGGTTTTCGGTAAGTGTGATGCTTAGTGGTAGTCGTGATTTTTTACCCTTGGCAAGTGGCACGATGCTTTGTCTACCTTCCGGTTCTGAAGTGTGGTGGTAAGTGGTGCCGGTGATCAGTTAACTGAGATGCTCAGAGCAGCCTATTATTAGATTCATCTACAATTTGTTTCCAGATCAGTTCGTTTATTTGTGTTCTTACTTCTTCAGGCGACAGAAGTTTTGACTGATACTAGTCCTCATCCCCACCATCCCTCTCTCTTCCCTGCACCCCCCCTCCTTCCACTCCTCCCTTCCTCTCGCTCACCCATGAGCACTGGCCCTTCAAGGTGTTATCTGGCCCCGGGAACAAACCCATGATACAAGTCCAGCACAAAAGACTGAACTGGCTGTAATACTAGGGTGATCCAGTAGTACCCTCCTCTTCCCCTCCTCCTCACCTCCCCTCTCTCCTCTCTTTCCCCTTCTCTCTCTCCCCTCCCTCCTGCTCCCTTCCTGCCCGGCCTCTCCCACCCCCACTACCCTCTTCTTTCTCCTCCTCCTCTTTCTTGTCCTTCAGATGCCAAGCGCCTGATCGGGCGGCGTTTTTCGGACCCTACCGTGCAGGCCGACATGAAGCACTGGCCGTTCAAGGTCTTTTCTGGCCCTGGAGACAAACCCATGATTGAAGTGCAGTACAAGGCCGAGCGCAAGCAATTCGCACCCGAGGAACTTTCCTCGATGGTTCTCACCAAGATGAAGGAAATCGCCGAGACGTTTCTCGGGAAGAAGATTAAAGATGCGGTGGTCACGGTTCCGGCCTATTTCAACGACTCGCAGCGGCAGGCGACGAAAGACGCGGGCGTTATAGCGGGTCTGAATGTAATGAGGATAATCAACGAGCCGACGGCGGCGGCTATCGCATATGGGTTGGATAAGAAGGCGAGCCGCAAGGGCGAGAATAACGTGTTGATTTTCGACCTGGGCGGCGGGACGTTTGATGTGTCGATTCTGAGTATCGAGGAGGGGATTTTCGAGGTGAAGGCGACGGCGGGGGATACGCACCTGGGAGGGGAGGATTTTGACAACCGGCTGGTCAGCTTCTTTGTGCAGGTGAGAGGGGTTTGAAGGCCACTGGGAAAGGCTTACATGGTGGTAGCAGCACAGGAGGAGGGGATCTTTGAGGTGAAGGCGACAACGGGGGACACGCATCTGGGAGGGGAGGACTTTGACAACCGGCTGGTCAGCTTCTTCGTGCAGGTGAGGGACCGGGTTTTGCTGGTGAGGGACCGGGTTTTGCTGGTGAGAGGAATTGCAGGGGATAGAAGCACAGGAGGAGGGCATTTTGGAGGTGAAGGCAACGGCGGGGGATACGCATTTGGGAGGGGAGGATTTTGACGACCGGCTTGTCAGTTTCGTTGTGCAGGTGAGGGGGGGTTGCAGGTCACTGGACAGGCTCGTCAGTTTCGTTGTGCAGGTGAGGGGGGGTTGCAGGTCACTGGACAGGCTCGTCAGTTTCGTTGTGCAGGTGAGAGGGGGTTGCAGGCCTCCCAACCCACCCTTCCCTCATCCCCACCACACCTCCCCGGCCCCCTCAAACAGGAGTTCAAGCGCAAGCACAAGAAGGACATCAGCAGCAACCCCCGCGCCATTCGCCGCCTCAAGACTGCCTGCGAGCGCGCCAAGCGCACGCTCTCCTCCACGGCACAGACGACCATCGAGATTGATTCTCTCTACGAGGGGATTGACTTTTACAGCACCATCACTCGGGCACGGTTTGAAGAACTGAATATGGACCTGTTCCGGAAGGTACATGCCTCTGTGTGTGTCTTTCTGTGCGTCAAATCGACTCCACGGCTCAGACCACCATGGAGATCGACTCGCTGTACGAAGAAATCAACTTTTACAGCACCATTACCCGGGCGCGGTTTGAAGAGCTGAATATGGACCTTTTCAGGAAGGTGCGGATGGGTTGTGAGTGGTGTGGGTGTAGTGTGTGTGTGCCTCTACGAGGGGATTGACTTCTTCAGCACCACCACTCGGGCATGGAGCCGGTGAAGAAGTGCCTTAGTTTTGAGACGACTCAAAACTGGAGCCGGTGAAGAAGTTTTAACTTTTACTACTGTCTATCACTTGCTAAAGATAAACAAAGCTTCTATGGCTCAAAACTGGAGCCGGTGAAGAAGTTTTAACTTTTACTACTGTCTATCACTTGCTAAAGATAAACAAAGCTTCTATGGCTCAAAACTGGAGCCGGTGAAGAAGTGCCTTTCCAACGCCAAGCTCAGCAAGTCCCAGATTCATGACGCGGTGCTGGTCGGCGGTTCAACCCGCATCCCCAAGGTGCAGCAGCTACTGCAAGACCTCTTCCCATTGCCCCTTCCCTCCCCCCTACCCCCCCACAATCAGAGCATGGAGCCAGTGGAAAAGTGTCTCTCCGATGCCAAGCTGAGCAAGTCCCAGATCCACGACGTTGTACTGGTTGGGGGCTCCACGCGCATTCCCAAGGTGCAGCAGCTGCTGCAAGACCTCTTCCACGGGAAGGACCTCTGCAAAAGCGAGTAGAGGGAGAGAGAGGGTAGAGAAGCATTTCAGTTTCCTCCTCTCCTCCCTGTTTTTACCTCTGTCCTCCCCCCCATGGGCATCAGAGCATGGAGCCAGTGGAAAAGTGTCTGTCAGACGCACAAAGCTGAGCAAGTCCCAGGTCCACGACGTTGTACTGGTCGGCGGCTCCACCCGCATCCCCAAGGTGCATCCAAGGCCTCTTCCACGGGAAGGACCTCTGCACGAGCATCAACCCCGACAAAGCCGTCGCATGTCGCATGGCTCTTGCGCTCATGGGCTTCTCCCCTTTCTGTACTGCCCTCTTTCACCCCTGCCCGCCACACCAGAGCATGGAACCAGTAGAGAAGTGTCTGTCTGTCTGACGCCAAGCTGAGCAAGTCGCAAATCCACGATGTTGTTCTCGTGGGCGGCTCCACTCGCATTCCAAAGGTGCAGCAGCTACTGCAAGACATCTTTCACGGGAAGGACCATTTCTGATTCCCCCTTCCCCATCCTCCCTGTTCCCACGCCCCCGTATGTTTTTTGAGAATTCTCAAAAAACATACGCCCCGCTCTCTCCTTCCCAAGGTGCAGCAGCTACTGCAAGACTGATTCCGCGAAACACGACGATTCCGACGAAGAAAGAGCAGGTTTTCTCGACGTTTTTGGACAACCAGCCGGGGGTGCTGATTCAGGTGTACGAGGGGGAGCGCGCGCGGACCAAGGACAATAATCTCCTCGGGAAATTCGAGCTTTCAGGGATCCCGCCGGCGCCGCGGGGGATCCCGCAGATTAGTGTTACTTTTGACATTGACGCGAACGGGATTTTGAACGTTAGCGCGGAGGATAAGACGACGGGGCACAAGAATAAGATCACGATCACGAATGACAAGGGGCGGCTGAGCAAGGAGGAGATAGAGCGGTTGGTGGGGGAAGCAGAGCGGTACAAGGAGGAGGACGAGCAGGTGAAGAAGAAGGTTGAGGCGAAGAATGCTTTGGAGAATTACACCTACAACATCAGGAACACCATCCGGTGAGTCGAGTGATAATGGTGGTCTGTCCGGTGCTTGGTCTCTGTCCAATGAGTAGATTAGGGTGGGTTTGGTTGGTTGGTGGGAGCAAGGAGGAAGCAGAGAGGTACAAGGAGGAGGACGAGCAGGAGAAGAAGAAGGTTGAGGCGAAGAATGTCCTCGAGAACTACATCTACAACATCTGGAACACCATCCGGTGAGTTTTAAGTTGTTACAGTGATGCGTGCGGCTCACCATCCTGTGAGTTGGTAACCACATTCGGTGAAGCAGAGAGGTACAAGGAGGAGGATGAGCAGGTGATCAGGTTAGGTGAGGAGCTAGGGGGAGGGAGATAGTGGTAAGGGAAGCAGAGCGGTACAAGGAGGAGGAGAAGCAGGTGAAGAAGAAGGTTGAGGCGAAGAATGCTTTGGAAAATTACACCTACAACATCCGGAATACCATCCGGTGAGTCTGATGCCTGGTGCTGGGGTGTCTGGTGGGGTGTCTGGTGCTTGGTCTCTCTGTGTAAGTGGGTTTGGTGGGTTGGTGGGGAGCGAGGACGAGGGAGTCGGAGTGGTTGGTGGGGGAGGCAGAGCGGTTCAAGGTGAGCAGGTGAAGAAAAAGGTTGAGGCGAAGAATGCTTTGGAGAATTACACATAACATCAGGAACACCATCCAGTGAGCTGGTTACCACATCTGGTGAGATGGGTACCGTGCATTCAGCAGGTTACCAGGTGAGTTCATGAGGGTGGTTTGGTTGGGAGCAAGGAGAAGTGAGATGGAGTGGTTGGTGGGGGAAGCAGAGCGGTACAAGGAGGAGGACGAGCAGGTGAAGAAGAAGGTTGAGGCAAAGAATGCTTTGGAGAATTACACATACAACATAAGGAACACCATCCGGTGAGTCTGGTTTCCACATCGGGTGAGGTGGTTACCACATTTGGTGAGCTGGTTACCAGATTTGGTGAGATTTGGTGGGTTAGTTACCCTATTTGGTGGGCTGGTTACCACGTTTGGCGCTGGTGCTGGTGCTTGTTCGTTCGTTCCTTGCTGTGAAAACGTGGTGTGTAAGCATTTAGCAGCAGCACAAATAAGGAGGTGAATGGCTAATGACCCAAACCAGGTTATATTTATGATTTTGCCCACTGGGCAAGGATGAGAGTGTGGGGTCGCAACTCCCTAGTGGACGACAAGAGGAAAGTGGAGGATGCGGTTACCGGCACCATCGAGTGGCTGGACCACAACCAGCTGGCCCCTTATATTCTCGCTTTATTTCCCCTGCTTGTTTCTAACGGTCAGGGATTAGAATGTGGCCTCCATGCTCCCAGCAGGGGACAAGAAGACGGTGGAGTATGCGGTTACCAGCACTGTTGAGTGGCTGGATGACAACCAGCTGGCGGAGGTTGACCGAGTTCGAGGACAAGCAGAAGGAGCTGGAGGGGAGAGTGTCAATAATACTGAGGTTTGATTTTGTTCTTCCTATTCTTGTCTGAGCAGGGATGAGAACGTGGGCTCCAAGCTCCCAGCAGGGGACAAGAAGAAGGTGGAGGATGCGGTTACCAGCACCGTCGAGTGGTTGGACCACAACCAGCTGGCGGAAGTTGACGAATTCGAGGACAAGCAGAAGGAGCTGGAGGGCATCTGCTCGCCGATCTTCTTCCGCATGTATCAGCAGGGTGGGGGAGTAGGTGGAGGGATGGGTAGTGATGAGCCGATGGGTGGTGCTGGTCCTGGTGGTGGTGCTGGTGGTGGCGGTGAGAAGGGTCCTAAGATCGAAGAGGTGGATTAGAGAGTGTGGATCTACTCGCCCATCCTCTCTCACATGTATCAGCAGGGTGGAGGAGCTGCTGGTGGGATGGGCGGGGATGAGTCTATGGGCGTTGCTGGGGCTGCTCCTGTTAGCCCAGCTGATATGTTGTGATGAGTCAGTGGGGTTTGTTCTGCTTACCGTAAGAAGAGGGGAGGAGGTGGTGGGGGTTGGATGGTGTCTTCCACCAGACGCTTCGTACATTTGTACAGGCTGATGTACTAAATTGTAGTCAGTTTACAGTTGTCATCTGCCTTATACCCCAAGTGTACCAGTTATGTGCAGTGGTCTAGGTTTTCCGCACAATCTTGTCAATCATCACATTCAATTTTCACTTGTCAAGATGCGCATTGGATTTTCTACGATTCTAGGTACATGAAAATTCCACTTTCACACTCTGATAATGCATACGTCCCTGTCAGTAAATACCATCTCTGATTTATCCTTGCCTATAGAAGTGGCCAGAAGTGTACATGTATGAGAAGATTGGACCCTGCTGTTGCTGATATGCTCCATGACTTCTGGCCGTCAGGCTCCAGTAGCATACAATTGTGCCCATTCCTTAGCTGCAAGGTAGTTAGCAGGTCAAACACAAATACTAGTTAGAAATGGGAATGCAGATACTACAAAGGCAACACACAGAAACAACTTATCAGGCTAATTACCTGTTGCAACTGCCTCTGCTTCGTTTGACTTCCAATGCTTAGCAACATTGTCAGCCAACGGATCATCAGGATTCGGGGCACTCAACAAAGCTTGGATACTGCACAATCGAATAAACAGACCTTCAGCAACCAACGTTCTTAAATACACCGATGTGTTACATGCGTGCCAACTGAAAACTACATCTCACCTCAAAAGAACTGTTCGAATCTGAAGAGCTGGACTCCACTTGTCCTTTAAAATATCCAAGCAGATCCGTCCAAGCTGTTGTGGAAGGACAGAGAGTATGGTCTGAGTATTGCATTCACGTAATAAACAGATGCTGTGAACGAGAATTTGAGAGGTCATACCTTATCAATGTTTGGATGGTAAATTCTTGTAAGAAAGCGAACCTGCGAAATTCCAATCATCACACGCGCATAAGCTACTAGAATTGCAAGCTATCAACGCGAGGCAGAAGAGAGTCAACGATACCTTCGGAGGAGCCATAGGATACTCTTCGGGTAGGAACAACTCCAGCTTGAAGATCCCACCTGTGAAAGCCCCACAACGACTCAGATGAAAGTTTTGAAGCACTGATATCTAAGTAGAGACGGACTTGACCACGCAGCGGCTTACCCTCATAAGGAGACTGAGAGGGCCCCAATATCATCACATTAAAATAACGAAGGTTTTCTTCCGAAGGTGATGCACTGATACCCGGAGCTGCAGCCACGCGGAGTACATGCGTCAGAAATTCAGGCAAGCCAAGAAGAAGGACGCCTAACAAGTAAACCGAAAGCGACGTGAAACGACATCAAAGCGATCACGTACCAGGCTCGCTCAACAGTCGTTGAGTTTCCTGAAAACAATATGGCAAAACGAATAATGATGTAAGAACTATGACACCAATGGCACTGCGATAATCGAATCGAGCAATCGCCACTATATTCCTACCTTGATTATTCTTCTCGGAAGATTGCTGTTCGCTGCAACAGCAGCCATCCTGCTTCGACTGCTCCAGAAACCCTAAAGTTGCTATCAGCAGACACACGCGCTCAAAGAAAGCACGCCTTCTGGCGCAAGCTTCTTAACACTTGCCAACGATGCGGGAAACCCAAACAGTGAAGATCGTCTGACCAACAGCTACGAGCTTGTAATCTAGGGCACTACGGTCCTATGCTGCTGTGCAATGGCTTTTGGCTGTGTGGGAGCATGAAATGAAGGAAATCCTGTCTGTAACCAGAGATGTGACGGAAGGGAGACAGAGACAGACACAGGAGACAACGGAGTGTCACCTGCCGAATAGTCGAGACAGGGCACAACAGGTGGAATTTGTACAGACCACAACAAGCCCCGCCTGTGAACACCTTTATTCAACTAATATCTCAATTCAATTGTAAGTTATTATTGTGACAGTTTAAAAGGCCTTGCAAAGCATAGAAGTGAATCCCAGCGAAGATTTCCACCTCCGGAAAACAACCAAAAAGAAAATATAATAAAAAATACGCAGCTATTCCAACACCCTCCCAATGATAATTGTTAAAGATCATCAGTTGTTAGGAGATGGGCATGTAGATATTGTTGTTTTCACTGAGTGTATGTTGATTACATTATCACTTCTTCACACCACACAAGGAAAAAAATTGCATGCAAAACCATCTTTCTCACGCACAAACTCATGAGAAAAGCAAACCTGTCATTGTCTGTGTCAGAGGAGCTACAGTCGGCTTCTCCAAGGGATACACTCCTTTTCCAGCAGTTGTTCTACACATAAGCTCGCGGGACTCCTGGCAAAGAGTGTAAGAATACTGAACGAGATAAAGTGAACTATGAATGAGTTGGGTACAAGTACTAACCCTAATTGGGTTGTACCCCTTATGGGCTACCCCACTACAGCCTAAACAATGTAAACATTATAACATTTTGACACACCCCCATAGGCAAACTGGGGGAGAACAAGTGGTCACAAGACGAGTCAAGAAAAGCAAAGCAAGCTCAGGGTGGATCACGAAGTCACCACACATTCTGAGGACAAACAAATGGCCACAAGGCCAGTTCACATTCAGAGTTATATAAAAAAGAACAAACAGTACAGTGATCATACCCTAGCAAGAGTAAGCATACAGACATATATATAAATCACATTACAAGCAAAAGTCACGAAGTGAGCAAGTGAGGCAAAGTAGGCACAAGGCCTAAAACAATACAAAAACGCTGATGATCACCAGACTGAAGTGCCTTGGTGAATATATCAGCAGTGTTGGCCCGAGTGGCCATGTAAGCAAACGAAGCTGACCACGCTGATGCAACTCTCGAGCAAGGAAGTAACGCAGAGCGATGTGCTTCGTTCTGTGCTCCAGTCTGTGCTCCTGACACAAGGCAAGCATGGCCTTGTTGTCTACGTACAGATTTGGAGAATAACGAGGCCACTCTCCCAAGTCGGTCAGCAGGTAGGTGAGCCAGCGTAACTCCTGTGCAGCCATGACCCCTGCGTAGATCTCAGCCTCACAACTGGAACTGAGAACAGAAGACGAGCGGGTAGACCGCCAAGAAACAGAGCCGGAGCCAAGGCTGAAAGTGTAACCCTGTGACGATCGTTGCGTAGCCAATTCGTCAACCCAAGAAGCGTCTGCGTGTCCAGTGAGGAGAACTGGGCCCCGTCCTCCAAGCACGAGCCCCATGCCCGATGTACTGCACAAGTAGCGCAACACCCTCTTAGCGGCCTCCCAGTGCTCTGGTCGGTGTCTCCCGGGCGCAACGTAGTGTGCCAGGATGCTAAGAGGGTAGGCAAGGTCAGGTCGAGTGCAGGTCATCAGGTACATGAGGCAGCCCACAAGCTTTGGATACGGGCCACTCGGCTCTACGGACTCGTCCGAAGGTGGAGCTGAGAGTGAGTGACCGGTAGGAAGAGGAGTAGACTGTGGCGAGGAGTACCGGAAGCCGAAGCGCTGATGGACCCGGTGCACCATGTGTGACTGAGTCAGGGTGATGGTGCGTCGAGCTCTGTCCCGGACGGTGCGGTGACGGCGTGCTGTCTGGGATGCACGCCGAGGACGAGTTTTCTCCGTGGAGTACTGCCGTGTAGGTTGGAGGCCCAAGCATGAGCGCGGCAGGGGAGTGTTAACGGGAGTGGAGTGTTGGCCCCGCCCTCGCTTGGGCAACGTCGACGACTTGGTCGGATGTACGGGAGTAGTAGCCGACCGTTCACAGTGGGAGAGCTGCTCGACAGGATTCGTCGAGCTGCAGGGGACCGCTGTGGTGTTGCTGTCGACAAGGGAGCTCGACAACTGCAACTGACTGGTCTGGGCGACGGGTGGGCCGTCGACCAGGAGGGGCAGTTCAACCGGGAGGTCGACGGAGCAGTCCGTCGACTTGACAAGTGAGCAGCGGTCGACGAGGGGAGCGCGGCGACAACGGAAGTGGTCCGTCGACCAGGGGGTAGCTCGACGGGAGCTGTGGCCGACCAGGGGCACCTGGTGGTCGACCAGAGGGACCCGGTGGTCGACCAAAGGCACTTGGTGGTCGACCAGAGCATCTGGGGTTGTCAAGGTTGACCGGGTAATCTGCTCGGTGAGTTCTGCGGAGGCACGCGAATGTCGTCGAGGTCGCGATGGCGAAGGCGACTTCGGGTTGGTATCCCGAAGCTGATGTGGCTCATCAGGCACAGACAACAGCCGACGGATGCACAACGGTGCAAGTCGGGCCAATCGTCTGCGCGCACCTGCGAGCGTGCGCACTGCTGTCTTCTACGGGGCAATGCTGGACAGCCGCTCTGCTGCAGTGTTGGCACACCAACAACCTGCTGTGTTGGCAGGTCGCCTTTCTGCAGTGCTGGCGCGGCTCCTCCACGCAACGCTGGCAGGCGGTCGACCATGCTGTGCTGTCGGTCGACCAGGCTAGCTGCAGAGTTGCTAGGTGCATGATGTAGTCATTGTTGTCATTGCTTGTTACACAATTCTGTAATTCCAACTTTGCTAGTGGAAACTCAAGCCGATTTCTCCCGTGAATTGTGCAAGCACTAAGAAACTAGGCAAAGCTACGATCACTCCTAGTAGTTCGTGCCAACCCCCGTAGTCTAGCTCACTGCCGTTGTAGAGTGAATCTTTGCTCTCGCCACAGTCCACTCCTCTGCCTACCGGTCACTCGCTCTCAGCTCCACCTTCGGACTGTCAGAATCAACAGAAGGAATGAATGAACTAGGCAGCAGGTGGGTACAAGTATGAAAACCTAAAAGTGTTGTACCCTATAAGAACTACCCCACTACAGCCTAAACAGACTATAGCATATAAGTTTGACACACCCCCATAGGCAAAGTGGGGGAGAAAAAGAGGTCACAA